GCCCCCCCCCCCGGCCCCCGCCTCCCCCTTTCTCGGGGAGGAGACAAAGGTACCATTTTGCGGGGCTGGCAGAGCCGCAACCGTTGCCACCAGCGACCTGGCACAGCAGGACAGCCCCCAACCCCGTTGCCCTCCCGTCCCCTGCCCCCAGCAGCGCTGGTCCCACCCCCCTGCGGTGTCACACGGGCCAGGGGCTGTGCCAGCTCCGCGCCCGACCCGTGCTGCGAAACCACCCGTGCCCAAAAGCAGAACGGGGCAGGGAAGTGGGGCTGGCCTTGCTTTGCCAAACGTGCACCGGGAATCCACACCGTGGTGGGCAGAGAGCAGGGCTGGCGCTCAGGCAGGGCTGCCAGCGCCGTCCATCCTGCCTCTGCTTCCCCTTGTCCCAGGTCCCCATCCCCACGTGCAGCCCTGGGTGGTCACCTGAGAGTCGGAGACCTCGGAGGGCTTCTCCGTCAGGCTGCTGCTCTCGGCGGGGATCAGGTCGTTGTACTTGGTCACGTCCTCATCTGAGTAGTGGAGGCTGCCGGGGCTGGGTCGCGGTGGGGACCTCGGGGAGAGGGGGGTGCTCAGCACGGGTCCCCCATCAGGGCTGTGCCACACGGGGATGAACCCAGCTGAGCCTCGGGCAGGCACAGGAATCACCCCGAAGCTGTGCTGAGCTCCCCCCAAAAGAGGACCCTTCAGGGACTCCCAGCTTTTCACACTGTTCAGCATCCCAGCACATCCAGGCTGGTGCAGCAGCTGCAGCTCATGGCAGGGGGGACATGGGGCAGGGCAGGGTCCCCCCCTGCAGGGTGCCAGCCCTCCCCAGCCCTGCGCCCATTCCGTAGCAAGCACATGATGGAGAAACCAGCACAACATCTGAAAAAGTCCGTCCCCCCCGCCTGGGGAGGGGGCTGCAGCAGTGGGTCCCTACCGGGTGTAGATGCCATTCTTCCTGCAGAAGGAATTCTTCACGGAGAGGCGCCGGTTGTTGAGCTCCAGGGCAGGGAAGCTGCCCTCATCCAGGCTCACCATCTCGCCGTGGCTCAGGGCAGTGGCCTTGGAGCCATTCCCTGCAGGAGGGGGAATGCTCAGCCTTCCCCAGACCCTCCCCAGGAAGTACAGCATGGGGGGGGGGGGCAGACCCTGCACAGGGGTGGCTGGGGAATGGGCTGGGAATGGTTATGGCAGGCCCCCGGGGTGG